GTCCGATTTTTTTTTTTTTAATTCTTTATTTTTGCAGTGCAAAACAAAATAAAGCAGGCGTGTGGTGCCCCAATAGCATTCCTCACGCTGAATATCAACATTTTTAACAATGGGGTTTTCATAAATCCTTGCACATTTTTTAATTAATTAGTCGAGATTGTCCACGTTTAAACTTTACGCTGAGTATTCAGTTAAAATGTGGTCCTGAGTAGGTCTTACGAAATCTTGATGGCACAGTGCGTTCTAAGCTTTGTAGAGCTTTCGGTCTAGTCACTGGCTTATCTAGCTGCTCTAGGACATTTGAAAAAATTTTACATTGCTGACTGTAGTACTTCAAGTTAAGTCTAGACTAGACAACAAGTTGCGTGAAACAATACTAGATTGGCATACGTTTAAAAGTAGACAGTTGTAGAGATAGTTACACTAGTTGTTAGATGCAAGATATAATGAGAGTTACGGTTATACATTTTAGCGTTAAAGTTAGTCATGTCGGCAGGTTCGTCATATGATTACGAGTATTGACCCCCTCTGATCCTTGTTTGAGTGCATGTGGGTTTGTGTTGAGGTTAGGTGTATAGGGGGAGTGTGCCCATGTGCAATGTTAGGTCTACAGTGTTTGGTAGTGAGTCTTTAGAGTTGTGTGTGCTTCTCTATATGAGGCTACAGTCCTGGCTTCCGTGCAGCTGTACCAGTAATGAGTCTCTCATCCCACACTCTGTGGGCTCATGTTTGTCTCCCAGTGCATGGGGTTGTGCTTCATCATCTGTGGGCCGGTGGTGCTGGGGTGAACAGGTCCATGGTGGGAAATCGTTCTGGTTGGTGGGCAATACTTAGACACCTGTGGATGAGTCCGTGGTCAATGCGTTCGCGGGTCGTTGCATTGCCGGTGTGGGTGGGCAGCCCTTGCCGCCCATTTAGATCTCTTGGTGCATCGCTTTCGTATTTTGGCTCTGTGCGTTGCGCCAGTCCAGGGTCCTTGCTGGTTCTCAGCGCTAGGGTGAGGTGAGTTTCGGCTCTTTACTGCGGGTGCTCCTTTGGCTTTGGATGCTTGTTGTTGTTGGCTCTCGGTCTTAGTGTGGCGCCAGGTCCCTGCTATCGGAGTAGGCCGTCCTGTGTGCCTACTTGGCTTGGGGATGGAGTGCTCCTGCTCTGTGGACCATGTGAGGGCCTCTAGCTTCTCCCAGAAGGAGTTAAATATGCTGTTTAATCGCAGTTCTGTTACCCTCCAGGCTGTGCTTAGGGCTGCGTCGTGGGAGCCATCCGCCATTTTGGGTATTGCACATTTGCTCTCCAGACTAGGTGGGCGTGTTGCTTGGGCATCGCTTGGTGTGAGGATCGTGTGGGGGTGGCCCGAGATGACCCCCACCGGTCCAGAGGGAGGTGTCGTCTGTGCCCGACGGCGGGAGAGTGGCCGTCTCTCTCACGCCCGCCATGTTGGTAGGCCCCTCCAGGGTGATCGGTTCATACCGGAGCTGGTGTCGATTAGCGGGTATCATAGTGTGAGCTCCAGTTTGCCCTTTCGCCAGGAGGCCTTTTGTCATTAATTTGACGCCTCGTTAGTGATTTTTTTCTCGTTTTTATTGCCTCGGTGTGCAGGAGCCGCCTAGGTGAGCGTCTTCTCAGCTCAGCGGTTAGGCCATGCCCCCTTGTTGAGTACGATTTTGACAAAAAATCCAACAATAATTTATTTTTAAAACTTGCAATTTAAAAAATCTTTTACCTCTCAGTTACGTCAGAGGCATACAAACCATCAACCAAAAAAAGAATCAGAAAGATCCAGGTGTTAGAGGATTTGGGGGGTGTAAAGCTTGCCACACCATGACATTGTCAAAGACCAAGTTTTTAAAAAGTAATACCACAGGAGAGGAGTTCCCCATTAAAACACGGATTAACTGCTGCACAAACTTTGTTGTTTATTTACTTCAGTGCTTGTGCGGCAAACAATATGTGGGATGCACCAAACCACATTTTAAAGTGAGAATATTGGAACATGCCAATAGTATTAGAAAAAATCTTGCATCCCACTCGGTCCCAGTACAATGTAACTCCTGTCCAATGTCTGACCTTAAAAAACTGGTGTGCATAAGAATTGAAAAATTTGATCCACATTGGAGAGGTGGAGACAGATTAAGATCTTTGTCGCAACAGGAGACCTTTTGGATCCATAAAATGCACACACTGGAGCCGAGTGGTTTAAACATAGACATTGATTTGGTTTGTTTTTTGTGAAATTTAGGAGAAAGAATTTTATGCGGGTATGTCCCACTAGACAAGTGAAAAAATATATATAATTTTTGATGAGATCTATAATTTTAAATCTTTGGATAAAAAACTTCATTTTAAATTTTTTTTTTCTTTTTTTCCTTCTAACTTTATTTTTAACATTTATTTTTATTATTATAATAAAATATAATCTCTTTTAATGTAGACAATTGGGATTAAATCTTAAGATCAATATTCTTAAATTATTATTATTATTATTATGTTAAAGATTGGGAGTCATTTGGCAATTTTGAGCTAGTCAGGTGGGGCTATCTATGTATTATAATTATGAGAAAATGTATGAGAGAAAGAATGAGTTCATATGCACAGGATTTTATGCTTTATTTAATTTTATGTTATAGTATGGAGCTAATCTTTTTAAAGACTATTATAAAGGAATGAGAAATGTTCTCTAAGATTCATTCGTTTTTTAATTGGTTAGAGAGCCCAGAGAAAACCCTTGATTTCCTCTTGTACGCTTGGGAACGAACAATAAAGTTTTGATTGAAGATTTGGAACGCATGGAAGGAGGAGATGGAACACAAGCGGAAATTGAATAACATTGTTGCTTTTACACGACGGCACGTGAAAGATTACAAACAGCTGTGAAGAGAGAACGTGGAGTAGATCGATTGATACAACAGATGAAAACACCATATACACACCGGAGACAATCAGGAACAGCCCTATATAAGAGAATGACTTATTGTTAGTGATAATGTTTGATCATTGTAACTGTATTGAATTGATCCCTGAGGAAGTTTCTTAACGAAAAGCGTAGGACCGGAGACCTATACTGTTTTATATTATTTTATCCATTTTTTTATTTTTTTTGCAACATCAAATAAATAATTTTAAATTCACCTATCTGATTCCTGATTTTGATCCAGAAAGCCACAAGCTGACAGAGGATCCTGACCTCCCTATTGAGGGAAGGCAACTTTAAGGCGCTGAATTATTTGGAGTCTGTGGGTTCCATATTAAGTGGGGGCACTGCTAATATAATCATACAGTGCTAGTGTTTGTTATTTTTTTTATCTTTGGGTACTCCGCTGTATCCCATATTTTCTATACCATATCTAGTGCACTGCTACTACAAGAAGTGGGAGACTGTCTACTGCTCTGCTAGGAGAATTAGAAGACTTGTTATTTTATGTTCAGCTCCCTGCAGACTCTGGAACTTTCTGCAAAAGTGTGAAAGAGCTTTTGCATCCTGTCTGCAGAAGGAAGAGGAAGGATTGCCATTGCTTTTCTGCTGCTGTCCTACATTCTGCTGGATCTCTCTGGAGATATCTGCAGTTACAGAAGTCATTCAAAGGTACTGTCTCCAGAGATTGCATTAGGATTCCCCCTTATAATTGAATCTGGGTAGCGCTACCTACACCTAATGGGCCCCAACGTTGTGCACATAATTTACTTGCAGGTACCTATGAGTTTAACTGTTCAGATGTAGTTATTGATGTTATTAAGGGAAGTTTGTTGTCTGCATTCCTGCTGTAAAAGACTATTGTGACTGTATCATTCCTACATCAGGGACTTTATCATCATTTAACATTAGCCAGGAACTGCATTTTTGTTTCTGCTGTTATATGTGTATCTCTTTAACCACAATACAGTCTGTATTCCCATGTCTGTATTTAATTCATGTCTCTGAGGTATTAAGTGGAGGGTACTCATCTACTCAGTGGGGTGGGTTCCCCATAAATAGAAGTTGCACTGAATGGAGGCACTGCGTCAGAACAAGATGTCCCAATCTCCCAACTTTAGCGGAGGCTCAGGATCCCTGTCAGCGACAGAAGAAGGTGTAACTGCTGCTAGCTACGGCTTGTTGCCAGGAGCAGGGCCAAAAAGGATTACATAAGTCATTGTTTAAATGGTGTAATTATCAAATGTGATGTTCAATATCACTTTTCATCTCCCCATATCAGGTATGAGCGCTTGCAGATGACACTAAACTAGGTAAGGTAATACAGTGTGAGCAGGTTATTACTTTGCTACAAAGGGATTTAGATAAATTTGGGCCTCGTTTGTCAACCAGTAGTACATGTAGCCCAGAAGGTACGCACACCACCAGCAGGGGGAGGCCAAGAAGTGTCCAGCTGACCACCTTAGTGCCCCGAAAGCGGCAATTGGCTGGGGGAAAATGGAGGTGCAGGCAACAAGGAAGCTGTCTTCCAGCACTGCTCCCTCATGCGCCCTGCTGTGATGCGGTAGCCAGGCTATGACATTACTCAGGCCCTGGTCTCACTACAGTGCTGGACTACATCATAAAGATGACAGCACAGCACCACACTGGACCCCAGGGAAAAGATCCCAACTGGACCCAAAGGTAGGGAGATGGGGTGAACTTAAATAAAAATAAATAAATAAATAATTGTGTGTGAGAGAATGTGTATGTGTCTGCCAATGTGTTTTTCAGTGTGTGTGGGGGTCATTATGTGTCAACCTAGTGAATGTGTGCCAGTGTGTGTTAAATTGGCATATGCAGTAGTCAGGAACAAGGAACACAACTGCAAAATAGGACATGGATAGTTATATCACTTTAGGAATTAATATCAGGATTGAGGAAGTTCAGTATTAGATCAGTAGATGGTAATAGAGCAGAGTAAGTATACCTCTTTAAGGATTAATGTAATTCCTCTAAGCAGACTCCTTTAATTATATGAGGCAAGCAGAATTCTTAATAACTTAAGTATGCAAAAGTCTAAGAATCAGCAGGTAGTAGGCAAGAACACGCACTTAAGTGCAATAGTATGTTGTTAGTTCATATGGTTAGTAGAAGTCAGCAAACAATTACAGCTAGCAGAGAATGCAGAATAATTAAAGGGAACCTATTTTGAAATAGCAGGCAAAAGATTATTCAAGGAGCGTTTCATTTTCAGGGATGAGAGAGATCAGCAGCATAAAGTAAGGATTTTCGGAGGTTCGGTAGACTTCATTCACAGGAGGGAGTTCAGATGGAAACTTTGTATCACAGTGCTACAAATTAAATGAGCGATTTCAAAGTTACAGCAGCTTCCCTATAACGCAGCTGTGTCTTGTGTCAGAGCGGTCGATTAGAGAAACCCGGAAATAACATTGAGGGAATCGAAGATCGGTAAGTATGACAAAAATCAGTAAGTGTGTCTCTCAGTGTGTGTCAAATCAGTGAATGTGTCTGTCAGTGAGTGTGTGTGTAAATGTGTTTGCCTGTCAGTGTCCTCTGTGTATATCTGTGTGTCAGTGTCCTTTGTGTATAAATATGTGTGCATGTCAGTGTAAATGTCTGTGTGTGTCAGTGTCCTCTGTGTGTAAATGTGTGTGCCAGGTATCCTCTGTCTGTATGTGGGTGTGCAAGTGTCCCCTGTGTGTAAATGTCTGTGTGTGTCAGTGTCCTCTGTGTGTAAATGTGTGTGACAGTGTCTTCTGAGTGTCAGCATTTTCTGTGCATATGTGTGTGTATTAGTATCCTCTGTGTGTAATTGTGTGTCCTTGTCCTCTGTGAGTAACAGTGTGTCTCAGTGTCCTCTTTGTGTATATGTGTGCATGTGTCACTGTTCTCTGTGTGTAAATTTGTTTGTGTCAGTATTCTCCATGCACCATCATTGAACATAACAAAGGATTTGAAGCGGTACAGTTCTTTTTAAATAAGTCTAAGGCTTTTAACGATATCCACACAAATTTTATTTTAGACTATCAGACTAATATTGGACAATACTTTTTTTTGTAGTGTAAAATACAATTATTACAAAGAGCACATAGGCTTACATACGGAGCCAATATTATATAGGCTCCAGACCATGTGAGTGGTTTCAGCTTTTTACTTTCATCACTCATTTTCACCAAAACCATCTACACTATATGTTTTTTATCTCTTTTTTCCCTTCATTGTATGTTTAAAAGCATATTCCTGAATTTAAGACAACACAAAATTGTTGGGGTAAGTGAACCCCTCTATCACTTATATTTGTATTAGCGCTCCACTAGGTGGTGTATTTTACACTACATTTCTATATATTGTTAATTTATTGTGGAAATAAGGGTATTCCACTTTATGTGTTTGAGCTGCTTTGTATTTTAGGCACTGAATAGTTTCACCCATCACCTCTGTAAAGAGGTTTTTTTTGTTTAAATACTTTTTTTTGGTTTGAGGAAGATTTTTACCTTTAGACAAGGGCCACGGCTATGGGGACCAAGTTTGCCACCAGCTATGCCAATTTATTTATGGCTTTTTGGGAAGATTCTTTTATCTACACAGAGCATGGCTCGACGACAAACTTGGTCCTTTATAAGAGGTATATAGACAATATTTTCTTTATATGGAAAGGAAACCGTGCTTCTTTGGATAATGTTTTAATTTTTTAGTTTTTTAAAATAACAATAACTGGGGAATCAAGCTGACTCAGGAAATAAGTCTCTCTGAAATAATTTTTTTAGATAGAAAAATGTATGTGGAAACCAAACTTTTAAAAACATATACCTTTTTTAAAAAGGTAGACGTGAATAACTATATAGATATGAGAAGCTGTCATTTCTTACCCTGGCTAAAGAATATACCGAAAGGTCAATTCATTAGACTTAAACGAAACTGTAAAGATGAAAGTGAATTTATTAAACTATATATAGACAAAAGAAAGAAAGAAAAGAGAGAGCCTTAACTAACTGGTACCTCCGGAAGAAGAGTTGGAGGTAGCAGTTGAACATAAGTGGTAAAACCAGGGAATTGCTATGATGGTTAACTGGATCCAAAAATATGTTCAATAAAAAAAAAAAAAAAACATCACTTTTAATTTTATAGCTAAAAAAAATCCTTATATACAGGGGCAATAAGAATATACACACTGACACACAAACATGAAGTGAAGAACACAAAAATTATATAGATTGTAATATCCAGAAATCGTTTTATTTGAAGATTTGACAATGTCTACTGCAGTTTAATGCTGACAGGTATAGTTGGAATACAATTCTAAGTGGAAAATAAGCCACTGAGAGCAGGGTTATATTGTAATAAATTGACCACGCTATCAAAATATTTGATGTATGAGAAATACATTATTGTAAGTCCTGAAATCCTTTATGGTGAGAACTGTGTGCAACATTTCCTAATTGTGATAGCGATCTATAATTTCAGCAGAAGGAGGTTACAGTGAAATAGCCCGAATTGCTGACTATTTCTTGTATCTGTAGCTACCAGATTCGTTACTGACATTAACAGCCATAGTATTTAAACACCGGCTAGACGATGTGAGAAACAGTGTGCAACAGCTACTGCTTATGATAGCGATCTGCACTTTATAGCAAAATAGCCTAAATTGCTGGTAATATCTTGTATCTATAGCTACCAAAATCGTTACTATCATTGACAACCATAGTATCTGAGCACCGGCTAAATAATATTTCTTCTAAACAATCTGACACTTTATATCCGTTAGGATGCCTATGTGACAAAATCACCCGATCAATTCGAGATAGAAGTAACCGCTGGGTTGCAACAAATTGCCACTTTGAAAAATAGAGTGGCTTGTTGCAAACCCTGTGTGCGTATTCGTGTAAAAATATACACCCTCTGTTTAAAGTATTTAACAGTGACAGACAGACGAGAGTACCCCTTATGCAAACCACCTACCCTGTCTGATATGTACCCTGCTGAGCTGTCCTCCCCACTTCTGATATAGCCCAGGAAAGAGATGGACTCAGCGGAGGGTAAGTGTGTATATAGGGATAAATTATAGCCGGTACAGATTGTATAATTATTTTAACCCGTGTTGATCAGCCTGCTCCGGGAAGCAGTATATTCCTATAGAACCTCTAAAAGGTCTATATTAAGCGTCCAGATATTAATGCTAATGATAGAAGTTTTAACATCATTGCAGGCTTAAATGGCTGGGTGTTAAAAGAGGGAGGGAAGAAGAGATAGTTCATCTGAGATATAGTTGAACTTTCCCTACTGTGCCTTCGAGGGCACCCCTTAACAAAAAAGCTTTTCCTGGCTTGTATATAGCAGAGGAAACCACCCTCCCCATTCGTGGTACAGCAGAGTGGAGAAATCAGCGCAGGGTAAGTATGGAGTGTAAAGTGGCCTGTGAAAAAAATAATAAGTAGAAGATGAAAAATATATAAACTCGGCAAATCCGAGAGTTAACAGAGCTGGATAGCAGTGTAATAGAGCATTCTGCTGTAACGTCTAGGTAAGTTAGTGGTCAATTTGATAAAGTCCTGGTTGCCCTGACGCGCGTTTCGCTCATAAGCTCATCAGAGGGGACATCTGAATTTATTAAACAATCACAGGTATTAAAGGAACAATTTTACAAAAAGGGATACGATAAACAAGAAATTGAAATACAGTTTGAGGAGGTTAAAAAGCAACAAAGGAGCGATTTTCTAACATGTAAAAAAAAAAGATCCTGTGATACATGAACAAGTTCATTTTATTTGTAATTATAGCTCTCAGAATAACATTTTTTTCAATTTTTAAATAAACATTAATCTATTTTAACTCAAAATGAGGCAATAGGCAAATATATTGGAGAAAAGCCTAAAATTATTTACAGGGGAGCTAGGAATCTAAAACAAATCTTAACTAAAAATTGTATAACTTGAGACAAAAAGGAAAAAGATAGGGATCTTTTAGGAGAGGAACTTATAGGATTCTATAACTGTGGTCGTTGTAAAGGTTGTAAAGAAACGATGGTCAAAAATAAAAGGACCAGAGAGTTGAGCTCGAGGGCCACCAATAAAGTCTATAAGATAGACACATATCTCCAGCGACACTAAAAACATGATATATTACGTATATATTTATTAACATGCAATTGTGGCTTACAATACATTGGTAGCACCACAAGATGCTTAAAGACTAGAGCATATGAGCATATTTGTAATATCAAAAATAAGATGCTCAATCACTGTGTCTGCTCATTTTGCTCATATTCATAATGGAGATCCTAAACACTTGCACTTTCTTAGAATACAAAAAGTGGAAAAAGATTGGAGGGGGGGGGGGCAACTATATTGAAAAATTAAATAAAAGGGAGATGCGATGGATTTTTTAAATGAACACTCTGACCCCTCTGGTCTAAACATATATTTTGAGGTTTGTGGTTATATATAACCCTCACCTGTACCACTTTTTATGTTCCTAATATACTTTTTATCCTTTTCTCTAATATAAGAATTCCTTGATTAATTTAAGATACTTCTTATAAACATATATTTTTTAATATATGTTTACCTTTTATATATATTTTTTAACCATTTAGAGTTCTGTGTGATATCAATTAGACATGGTCTCTCTATATATTGTTATTACAATCTTTTATTATTTTACCAAGTGTATTATTATATTTGGCTATATATGATTAATTATGTTATTTTATTATATATCTTTCTTTTTAATGTAGAGGATATACATTTATTACATAGGTTATATAGTCTTATCTCATATGTCCAGGTCAGATTTAACACAATTTTTTTATTCTGTTTGTTTCCATGTATGCTATGAATGGAGTTATATATTTTGCGATAATTACACCCAAGACATGGACTCTTTAAGAACTTTTCTACCAGGAAGGCATGAGAAAACAAGATACAGAGAAACGCCGACTGGAAATACTTCACCGGAAGTATTTCGCCATTTTTCTTACTGCCGAAATTACAAGAATCGGGACTGTTTTACACGTCTTAGTATACTGTGTATTTGAGGTCAGGATAGGAAGTTCGGCCATGTTAGAGGTGGCAGAACCCTGTGTGTATGTGTCAGTTTCCTGTGTATGTAAATGTGTGTTTGTGTATGTCTGTTCTCTTTGTATATGTGTGTGTGTCAGTGTCTTCTGTGTGTAATTCTGTGTGCATATTTCATATGGAATTTAAACCAATAGAAATAACTTTTTCGAGGCATGGGTAATTAGGATTTTTATTTAGACCTGCAGGGGTACTTTTCCGTAAAAGGTTGAGAAACAATAGATTAGGGGACATGGCACTTAAATTTGCAGTTTAGATTTAATGTACAATAAGGATGTGGAATCCTGTGCCTAAGGAAGTAGTTTTAATAGAGCCTGTACATATGTTTACATGGCATCTGGATGAACACTTACAAAGACACAATATTCAGGCATATAATTAAAAATATATATATTTGATGTTTTATGTATACACAACTCATAATACATACTATACATAATTCTTATCAGTTCCATTACCAAAACATTGCCAATGTATCAACACATACTTGTAACTGCATAGTGTAGAAAATAAGACATTGTGCACACAATATCATTAGAATAAAATAAACATAAAGAAATAAAAAGGAAAAATTGAGTAAAAGAAAATAAAGGAAATAAAGATTGGAGCTAGATTCTGTAGTAATTAACATCAAGCTTTAAAACGTGCTTTCCATAAAGCTTCTAATCAAAAGATTACATTTGTACGATTATTGACATTTTTGCAAGGATCTTCACAGTACTCTTCTTTTTCAAATTTTCAACCTTAGTTGTTTTTGTACAATATTACTCGGCTTGGCAGGCATATCATTTTATATATATATATATATATATATATATATATATATATATATATATATATATATATATATATATTGTGCCACACATAATTGCATTTTAAACAGATTACCATTATGTTGTCCATGAGTATATACAGTTAGTGTAGATTAGTGATGGCTAATTGCATTTAAAGTTGTAGAATTAATTCCCCTTGATACACTTTGAGAAAGAGGTTTGACAAAGGGTGTGATTATCCAAATATTACCTGAATGGTGGCTCTAGACTTTGTAAGACCTTAGGCGAAACTCAAACATGAGGACCCCACTAACACCCAAAGTGAAAAAAAATAGGGGTTGCATTGTGTGTATAAGGTGCTGTAGCTGTATTGTACAAGCTTGCAGCGCTGGATACAGAGAGCTAGTCTCTGTATTCATTGTTCAGAGGTCTGCAGTGTTGCGGCTCCCTGTGTCTCTGTGTGGTGAGCTCTCCAACTGTAGTTATGGCATAATTTGCAAACAAAATTAATTTGCAATAAACAAATTTAATTAGCAATTATGCTAATCATTTATACACGACTGCGGGGTATGATTACATAGCCTTGCAGCCGTGTATACATTACTGCCAGTGTGTGTATTTCTGAGTGTGTCTGGCATTGTCTACCTGTGTATGTGCATAAAAAGTACTCTCTGACCGATAGTATCCTTGTTTGTGAATGTATGTCTTTATGCGTATGTGTCTGTGATAGTATGTGTGTGGGGTAGCTGCTTGCGGTGTGTGGTGTTTATTAGGGCTGCCTGTGACCTTTGTGCATGTGTGTATGATGAATGTCTTCAATTTGTGACAAGGTGAGTAAAGGGGTAACTGTGGCAGGGTGAGTGCAACAGGGTTAAGGGGGTTAAGGAGACGGTTTGGGGGTGAGTGTAACAGAATGAGGGAGGGTGAGAATAATAGAGGGGAGATTGTGACATGGTTGGAGGAGGGAGTGTGACAGGTCATGGGGAAGTAAGTATGACAGAATTGGAGGAGGCAGTGTAACAGAATGAGGGGAGGTGAGAGTGACAAGATTAAGGAGGTTAATGTGGCAAGATTAGATTAATGTGGAAGGGTGAGTGTGGCAGGGTTGGGGCGAGTGTGGCACAGTTGGAGGACAGGGTTGGAGGGGCTTATGTGGTAGGGTGAGTGTGGCAGGGTGAAGGGGGCGAGTGGAACAGACTGATAGAGGATGAGTGTGACAGGGTTGGGGACTGTGTGCAACAGTGCAAGAGAAGGTGAGTCTGATTGGATTAAGGGGGGTTAAATGTGATAATGTAATTGTGGTAAAGCAAGAGCAGGTGAGTTTGGTATGGTTAGAGGGGGTGAGAGTGACAGGATTAGGAAGGTTTAATGTGAGTGTGGCTGGGTGAAGAGGGAGAAAGTGTGTGGGGACTGAAAGTGTATGTGTATGGGGTGACAATGTGTGTGGGGGTGACAATGTATGCCTGTGGTGACAGGGTGTGTGTGTGAGGGGGGGGGCTGTGACAGGGTGTGTGTGGAGGGGTGACAGGGTGTGTGGGTGGCTGTGGGATGACAGGGTGGGGGGGCTGTCATGCCACAGCCAGTAAGGTGGATTGTGACAGGGTAGGGGGGACTGACAGGTTGGTAGGGGATGTGAGAGGGTCTGGGGTGACTGACAGGGTAAGGGGACTGTGTCTGTGGCGAAACCGGCCTCGCCACGTGTCCTTGGAGGGGGCTGCTTGCCCGCCTCTTGCCTTTGGACTATGGACCAGACTTTATGAGAGTGTGTTAACCCAGATAGCTATGCCATGGAGCCCATTTGTGTAGTTAAAGACTTCGGCTCCATAGCAATTGAACTGTGTGAATAGGATCTGAACGCTCTTCAGTAGTTTTGTGCGCTCAGATCCCAGCTATCTGGGGATATGTGAAATGTCTGTGTGTTATGTGTAAAAAGTGACTTTATGTATTTTAAAGTGTTTTGTGTCTTTTGCAACCATGTGCTTAATGGAGTCTTGTGTCTGTCCTGGGAGATAATTGAATTACTTATCTCCAGGATAGAAGACTCTGAAACTGGTTTGGGCCGGAAAGCCATGCTTCATTTAGTCACAAAGGACTTTCCCTTAACTTTTGAACCCCTGGTCTGATTCGTGCCATTTTTTTAATATGTTGTTCCCCTGAATGGATTGATTGTGAATATGTAATTTTATGTGAATGTGATGTATGGTTTTAGAGTTATGAAAGTTGGGTAGAAAGTATGTTTTTAACTGTATGTGTAATTGAGTTTCCTCTCAGGATAAGGGGAGGGAATATGTGGGATGTAACTGATATGTGATTGGTTGTTTTGTAACGCCCTGTGGGCTGTACTATGTTTGTGGATTGGGAATAAAAGAGACTGTATGTGACAGTACAGAGAGTTCCTGCTTAACCCTCAAAGTGAAGTGTCGTCTCATTATTGGGGGAAGGATTTATTATATGCTGTTCCAGTTTGACTGCTAGGAGAGTAAACCTATTCGTATGGTTCCTATTCAACTGTCTACAGCATTCATATGCTTGGGAGAATTTATTTGTTTCTCCGGTTCGGTGATTGTGGTGTCTGCTGCAGTGCTTGGAGTCCTCAGGAAGCGCTAGGAGCATCCTTTAACGGAGGTACCCAGTCGGGGTGCCAGGCGATCCGTTACAGTGTCAATATGTGTGGGTGGCTGTGACATGGTAGGGGGACGAGTGGCTGTGACTTTGTAGGGCAGTGGAGGGGCAGTGACAAAGGGTAGGGGAGGTGAAGGGGCAGTGAGAGAGGGTAGGGTGATGGAGGAGCTGTGACAGGGGTAGGGGATGGAAGAGCAGTAACAGGGGCAGGGGGATGGAGGGGCAGTAACAGGGGTAGTGGGTGTAGGGCTGTGACAGTGGGTGAAGGGCCTGTGACAGGCTTATAGGGGGTGGAGGGGCAGTAACACGGGGTGGGGAAGATGGAGGGGCAGTAACAGGGGGTGGGGGAATGGAGGGGCAGTGACAGGAGGTGGGGGGTGGAGTGGCAGTGATGGGGTTGGGGGTAGTAACGGGGTAGGGGGATAGAGGGGCAGTATCAGGGGGTATGGGGTGGAGGCACAGTGACAGGGCATAAGGGGGTAGTAACAGGAGGTAGGGGATAAAGGGGCAGTAACAGGGGGTAGGGAAGGTGGAGGGGGTTCATAAATACCTTCCCTGGTGGTCCTGTGGGCGCCCTCTCTCCCAGTAGTCCAGCTCTCTGGTCTGCAGCTCTGCCGGGAGTGAGCTGCAGACCATGTGGTAATTCTCGCAATCTCCAGTCAGAGCATTGCTATGGTAACCCGCGACAATGTTCTGACAGGCCGGAGATCGCGAGACACTTCAGTCTGCAGCTCACGCCCGTTGGAGCTGCAGACAGGAGGCTGGCTCTCTCACGGTCAGAATGACCGGAGGGGCCTCTCACCCGGCAGCATTATGGCTAAGCCGCGAGGCCCCCTCCTGTGTCGGGTCCTCGGTCTGTGACTACCATGTCTGTGACCGAGGATCTGACATGGTAGACTACCGTGAGACGATTTAGGCAGACACAAAGACCCCATCACTGCAAGGCATTAGTTGGCTGCCTAAATCGCCTAATAAGAGAGCCGCCTCTGCATTACCTGCTTTGCTGCTAGCACCTAATAAATAAACACCAAGTAACTGGTCCTTTCATTATTACCATCAAAGATTTTTTAAGCTAAAACTTTTTGTATATTGGCTAGTCGAACGTAGTAGTAGTTATACTCCAAAAACTACCGGAGGGTTACATATTATCAGTTATTCACTAGACAAGGCATGGCAAATGGACAGATCTCCAAACACTGTAAAACTACAACTCAAACATTGTTTTACCAGCTGTAACAAGGGCAAAACATCAAAGTAACTGAGGTTCTATAACAGCTGGTGTTCTAGGTCCTGGAAAACAGGATGACAGGGTCATTCACTTTGGCAGTCTACAATAGGAGAAGAACAGGAAGAAAAAGGAAACACAGAAAGAAGAATGTTAGTTGCGAATGTGGAACACCCAATTAAAACATTGAACATAATAACACAAAGTTACAAAATACAATGCAACATAACAATAAAAAACACAAGGAAATCTTAGATCTCACTTAATCAAGCTTAAAATGAAGACAAGATTATGTTTTTTTTTTGTTTTTTTTTAAACATTTTGTTCTAGTTACATTATTCAGTTCAAATAGTTTATCTTATGGTTAATGCAATTAATTAAAATACCACCATTAGGCTAATGAGGTAGATTTTTTTTTGGTAGATTTTGTCCAAAGGGAAACCTGGGAGGCCTGAAAATATGCACTTATTTTTTCCCTGGCTATCCAGGCTGTCTGAGCACTCAATTACTTATTTGTTTTGATTGTTACTAAAATTATACGTAGCAAACAAAAATAACCAAACTATAATAGGTCCTACTTATAATGGGAGCAAACATGCTAAGCCACATTAGATCAGATGCATGAAGGCAAACCATGTTCTACTCATGGGCAAAGTTCAAAATGTTATGAAGCATCCTACTGGTTTTCATGGTGATTAATTCTTATTCAGCGCTCTGTCTCAGATTAGCACACATATTATTGTATGTTATTTATAAAGAGCAGTTCTCGGATAAAAGGGTTTTAAGACTAGGGCAATCACCATGGAGATAGAAACACTATTACTTTGCTCACAGATCCACTTTCAATTCTTTACTTTAGAAATTGTTTTTTAGTTGGTTTTTAATGCATAATCCCCAGTGAGCATCTAGTTCCTGAACATTTAAGTAATAATAATAAAAGAACAAGACGAGATTCAGAATCTTCTTCGTTTTCAATAAACAACCAAGCAAATAAATAAATAAATACCTGTCTTGCACATAACTGGTCTAAGGAATTTACAGTTTGTTCATTTCTAGAGATGTTTTGTTCTCAGAGTATACAGATTCTGAATATACCTCGATGCACAAAAATAGGAAAGCTTTATTTAATGTATGGTTCTTATGAATACAAAATAGGCATGTGTTTTGTGCACAATGTCTTTGTTCAATAATCTCTGTATCGGTATAAATAAATGACAAATCCTGTTGTACCCTGCAGTTTCAGAGGTTAAGGAAATATATTCATACATGACATATACTGTTAACACATATTTCTTGTCAAATAATAAAAACCAACAGGATAGAATTGTATATGGCATTTGAGGCTCAATTCTATTACCCTCGACACCAAATTAAATTGGAGAGAATGATGTTAACAGCTGGCAAGGTCTTGTACTGCAGAGCAATTGAATACTTTGGGAGCGGCAAAATTCTCCATTAAAATCAATGGAGGGAATGCAATGATGCGATATTTAATTGCATGTGGTCAATAAGACTGCATATTACTAGGTGCATCCTGACACTGAAAAATATTTGACATTTTTATTATTTTCCACCTTCTGATTGATTTTAAGTCCATTGGGTTTTTTCATATAATTCAGTTGTTTCATATGGTTTGTATTTTTTATTTTTGACAGGATAATTTCAGATTGGAAAAATTGCAGTATCGTGTGATATTTTCATGGAGGAAAGCGATAATACAACACAAATAAAGTTTACCAAACCTTTAGGGTGTCTAGGCACTGAAAAGGGTAAATTTTAAAAATTTAAAGGGACACTAAAACCAAAAATATTTTAGCTCAATTAAGTGGTTTTGGTGTATATAAACAACCCCTACACTCTCATTGCCCAAATCTCTTTCATTAAGGAGTTTAAACCCTTTGTTTATGCAACACTCTGCTCTGATTCTCACATCCTCCATACACACTGCCTGAAAAAGATTTACATTTTATTTTAACTTATAGCACCGTGTATTCATTCTAGAATTACTTATCTTCTGCTCAGTTTATTGTCAATCCCAGCCTACAACAGCTCCTGTGTGTGCTTAAAGTTCAAGTAACCCAGTGTGAGGTATTAAATTCTAAAGAAAACACAGTGTACTGTAATATCTGACTGAAAAATTTAAATTTTTGAGGCTGTGGAAGTAATTTAACTCCTAAACGAGCAGTAAGACTGCAGGAGCACTTTTGGATACCATGAGTGCTTCATTAAGTTTAATTTGTTGGGGTACTTAGAGTGTCACTTTAATGGGTGTTTTTCAATACCGGGTTCTGGGGATCCAGTATCTTCCGTTCATAATCTTGATTGCCAGCACTGATGACAACATTACAACATTGTGACAGAAGACCATGGAATTCATTGTCCATAGCAAATATAGTGAACAAAGTATCCATTGTCTAGAACAGGGGTTCCCAACCCAGTCCTCAAGTACCCGCTACCAGTCCAGGAATTTAGGATTACCCTTTTGTGTCCAAAGTGCTTTTTTTTTTCTTTTCTAAAAGCACCTTAGACACAACTGCGTAATTCTTATGCTCAGCAAATTGACCCCAAAATTGTCTAGTCAATGAGCACTAATTCCATGGTTATTGAATAACCCTGAAAGTGAAAAAAAATATTTAACCCCTTAAGGACTGAACAAAAAATATACACATTTTGATCTAAATAAAACGTAAACAAAACTTGGAATTTGACTATATGTCTGTTCAACCGTAATTCACCTCTTTCATATTAAGTGCACCCACACTTATTATATATCATTTTATTCAGGGGCAATATGGCTTTCATTTAACATCAAATATTTAGATATGAAACATAATTTAATATGAATAAAATATAAAAACAATGTGTGAAATTAAGATTTTTTACATTTTTTTAGTTCTGCATGACATTTTAACTGTGAATGTCATAATACGGTTTGCTTTTACTGCATTAAAATACACATATTTTTTCAGCAATGTCTAATGTGTAAAACAGTACCCCCTGTGTACAGGTTTTATGGTGTTTTGGGAAGTTACAGGTTCAAATATAGCATGTTACATTTTTCAGTTTTTTCACATTGAAATTCGCCAGATTGGTTACGTTGCCTTTGAGACCTTATGGTAGCCCAGGAATGAGAATTACCTCCATGATGGTAAATCCATTTACAATAGTAGACAACCCAAGGTATTGCAACTGCGGTATGTCCAGTCCTTTTTAGTAGCCACTTAGTCACAAACACTGGCCAAAGTTAGCGTTAACCCCTTAAGGACCAAGGACGGTTCAGGACCGTCATCGGCATTTTAGCGTTGCCGACCGGTGACGGCCCTGAACCATCCTAATGGTCAGATGTACTTACCCCATTGTGGGGAGACTGCCTGCAGCCCAGACAGTCTCCCCATGGTGGATTAGGACCCCTGGGGCCATGTGATCGCTCAACAGATAATAGGTGTCACAATAGGTGTCCATGTGTCTGCCTGCAGGGGGTCTGCCTGTGCTGACAGGCAGTCTCCCTGCTAGTGTAAAATAAAAATAAAAAAAAGGTACATGTTAATAAAAAAAAAAAAATTATATATGTGTATATAAATATGATATATAGACATATGTTAGATATATAATATGTCTATATATCATATATATAATGTCATGCTAAGTGTATTTTTATATTAATATGTACATATATTAATATAAAAATACACTTATAATTAAATTACACACTATATATATAATATATATAACTATATATATATTGTATATATATATTATTATAAAATACAAATAATAAGTAATTTAAATTAAATTTAAAAAATTAAAAATAATAAAAAATAAAAAAAATTATACATTTATATGAAATTTTATTCTAACTGTATTTTGATATTAGTATATATATATATATGTATATCAAAATACACTTATAATGAAATTATAAATATAGCTATATATATATAAATAAATAAAAATAATACGAAATATACATATGTCCATATACAAAATTACATAAATAATGATATAAATATACATATATTTAAATTCTACGTGCGTATTTATGTAATATTTTTACATAATTAAGTAATTTTATTGATTGCAATTTGAGGGACCTGCCTGCCAACCCAGGTCGAAAGTCCAGAGAATTTAATTTGCTAGCACTATATTTTACCCTGTAACTTTCTATGACACCCTAAAACCTGTACATGGGGGGTACTGTTTTACTCAGGAGACTTCCCTGAACACAAATATTAGTGATTCAAAACAGTAAAACATATCACAGTGATGATATTGTCAGTGAAAGTGACTTTGTTTTGCATTTTTCACACACAAACAGCACTTTTACTGATGATGTAATTGTTGTGATATGTTTTCCTGTTTTGAAACACTATTATTTGTGTTCAGCAAGGTATCCTGAGTATAACAGTACCCCCATGTATAGGTTTTATAGCATTTTTAAAAGTTACAGGGTCAAATATATGGGTCAAATATTTTTACATTGAAAAAGGCCAGGTTGGTTACGTTGCCTTTGAGAGCGTATGGTAGCCCAGGAATGAGAATTACCCCCATGATGGCATACCATTTGCAAAAGAAGACAACCCAAAGTATTGCAAATGGGGTATGTCCATTCTTTTTTAGTAGCCACTAGTCATTCTCATTCCTGGGCTTCCATACGGTCTCTAAGACAACGTAACCAATCTGGCGAATTTCAATGTGAAAAAACTGAAACACAAGCTTTATATTTGACTTTGTAACTTTTGAAAACACCATAAAACCTGTACATGAGGGTTAGTGTTATACTCAGGAGACTTAGCTGAACACAAATATTATTGTTTCAAAACCGTAAAACGTATCACAACAATTATATCATCCGTGTAAGTACCGTTTGTGTGTGAAAAATGCAACAACAAAAAACTCAATTTTTACTGATGATATTGTTGTAATACATTTTACTGTTTTGAAACTCTAATATTTGTGTTCTGCGAAGTCTCCCGAGTAAAACAGTACCCCCCATGTACAGGTTTTAGGGTGTCTTGGAAAGTTACAGGGTTAAATATAGTGCTAGTACATTAAATTCTCTGGACTTTCTGCCTGGGTTATCAGACGGGTCCGGCAAATTGTAATTAATAAAATTACTTAATCATGTAAAAATATTACATAACTATATACGTAGAATTTAAAAAAATATATATATATATTTATTTTTTTATTATTTTTTTATTTTTAACATATTTATATATCTATTATATTATATATATAACTATAATAATACAGTATATATATATATATATATATTTTTAATTA